TGGATATATAATGAATACTGCACTGAAATTGATGAAGAGAAGGACTGTTTGAAGAGAATGTATGATTAGGCGTCTCAGGTATGACAATTAACAATCGGGAACAAGAAGCGCAATGCAAAGTGAACATAGGGGGTTGGGGGAGAAAGGAGGGAGGAAAATGCACAACAACAAATGAAAAGCAAACCTTTCTATAAACGTTTGTTAAAATCACAATAACATTTTTTAAAACAAAATAACACATAAAGCTGTTTTCCTCAGAGAAAGTTGGTCACATCCAATGAGGGAGGGGAACTTTTGTTCTCAAGATCAATGTCGAGCAATGGTTATGAGGATGGCACAAGACTGGGCAGCTGTTTCCTCTGGTTGCACACAACGATCCTGTTTAAGCCCACTGTTGCAGCCATCGATCTCATGAAGGGAACTCTGGTGGCCTAGTGGTAAGAAGCTGCACTGCAATTCCAAAGGTACACAGTTCGAATTCACCATCTGCTCTGCAGAAGGATGGGCAACCTCCTCGAGTGTGATTTACTGTCTCTGAGAACTTGCTGGAAGGTCCGTGTGGGTCGGTTCTGACTCAACAGCCCACAATACCAATTTATCATTGAGTCTTCCTCCTTCTGGCTGACCCTCTACTTATCAGGCATGACTCTTCAGGCACTGGTCTTATTTAGGATTATCATCATAATATCAAAGCCTAAAAACGTAAAAATGTAAGCCAATCAAAATCTGAACCATTTTCCTTTAGATCATGGATTAGCCTATGCATGTCCTCGCTTCTCTAAGGCCTAAGATATCACTCCTAATAATGTTAATAACTACCATTCACTAAACATGATTGCAAATTACCAGATAACTAATATGATCATACCTCTTCCCTTAAGACAACTTAAAAAGAAAAATCCCCAACCAAAACCATAATACAACTGTTTAATAAATTACATGTATCATACCCATTGCCATGGCATGGATTCCAACTGACAGCGACCCTCTATCACTTTGGTGAGGCTGAGAATCTTTATAGGAGACTGCCTATCTTTCTCTCCATGGGCACAAACATGTGTGAAGGTTCAGTCGCTTCATTTATATGTGAAAGTTGGACAATGAGTAAGGAAGAACAGATGCTTGACGCCTTTGAATTGTGGTGGTGGCAGAGAGTACTGAATACTCCGTAGAATGCTAAAGCAACACACCAATCTGTCCTGGAAGAAGTACACCCTGGGTGCTCCTGAGAGGTAAGGATGGTGAAACTTCACCTCACACACTTGTGCCACGTTTTCAGGAGACATCAGTCCACGGAAAGACATCACGGTTGAAAAGCTGAGAGGAAAACCCTGAATGAGATGGACTGCACCAATGAGCCTGAGCATGGCAGAGGGCAGGAGGATGGCTGCACACAGCGCAAGCTTTTGGTCTGTTGTTTTTAGTGTGTGTGGTTGTGGTTAGAATCTGTCAAATTCACTACGGCTCACACAGAGACCCAGTGAAGAGCAGACTGAAATTTTCCTGCATCTCTCTCTCTCTCTCTCTCTCTCTCACACACACACACACACACACGGAAATAAAAGAACTGAAGAGGAAGAAGGCCTGATGTTAATGGAAATTATATTAGTTATACAGGGTTCCTAGAAACCATTTAACATTTCTAGCTGATTCAATTGCTGTGTTTTATATGGAATTACTTCACTGAGCTGTTTATGTGTAGGGGTTTAAACATCCAAAACTAAACCAGAGGTCAGTCACACTTAATGGCTAAAAATTAAATTAAGGGGAAATTTTTTAAAAAACAACCAAAGAAATGTTTCAAACATTCCAAGAATTAAGATTTATGAAATAGGGATACCAGAATTTTGTTGTGTGAATTCTGGGCAAAAGGGTAGAGTCGGATAGCGATGAGAGACAAGGAAAAAGAGGGTTGGGCCCACTAAGAGAGAGATGTAACAGGATTTCTTCTGATCGAATAGAAGAACAATGCGAGAAAAGCCAGCAAAAGAAATTAATTTACCTAAATCATTCTTCCTTTTGAAAGCTCTCTTACTGTTGCCTGTGTAGAGAAATTAGAATTTTATCATGTCCCCTGAATGCCATGATTTTGCTAACACACACACAGTTCTCACTATAGAATGTGGGAGATGAAACTTCTGGTTCTACATCACACACTCAAGTGAATTTGTTAAGATACCAGCTGTTCTTAGCCAGGCTTCATTTTACCCCCAAGAAACAATTTCACAATGCCTGTTGTTGTTAAGATGCTGTCGAGTCTCCTGCAACTCACAGAGACCCTATGTACAAAAGCCCTAAAACCATCTTTATCCTGTACCAAACTTATTGTCTCTGACACACTTCCTAAGCTCATCACCCTAGTCACTGAATCAATCCATCTCTTCGGTAGTCTTCCTCTCTTGCACTGGCCCTCCACCCTTTCAAACATGAATGTTCCCCTCCAAAGACTGGTCCCTCCTTGCAACATGACCAAAGTAAGTCAGATGAAGCCTCAGAATCCTTGCCTCCAAGGCGCAACCTGGTTTCACCCTCTCTAGGATGAACCTGTTTGTTCTCCTAGCAGTTCATGGTATATTCAATACTCTTCTCCAACACCACAGCTCAAAGGCATCAACTCTCCTTCTATCATCCCTAGTCATAGCCCAGCTTTCTGATGCATAGCAAGTAACTGTGAAGCCTATAGTCTGGATCAGGAGCACCTTAGTCTCCAGACTGACATCATTGCACTTCAGTAATCTGGAGAGTTCCCTGACAGCAGACTTTCCCTATGCAGTTCATTTTTTTATTTCCTGGCTGCTGAGAACCAAGAGTGTTGACTGTGGAGCCAAGGAAACTAAAGCTGTTAACAATCTCAATCTCTTCACTGTCTAGGGGTATATTTTAGTTGTAGCTTGAAAGAGCAGTGGCAGAGAAATGGTTAAAATCAAAGCTGCTACACCAAAGGTCCTGCAGTTCAAACCCACTAGTTGCCCTAACGGAGAATAACGTGGCATTCTGCTTCTATAAAGATTATAGCCTTGGAAATGTTAGGGAGCTGTTCCACTCTGTTAAGAGCTGTTATGAGTCAGATGCCACTCAGAGGCAATGAGTTTGGTTTTATTAGGTCAGAACTGAGGAGAGAGGGTACTGAAAATTAATCAGTTAGGGCCACAGAAGCTACTAAACAGTCTACAATGCAAAGGCAGGTCTCCTAACTTAGAATTACTTGGCCCACTATATCAACAGTGCCAAGGATGGGTTTCTATGAGACACGTAACAATGAGGTTGAGAAACAACAACCTATTCTCAACTTACATAAAAATAACTCACTTAGATTTTCCATCCATTTCTAACAGACATCTTGTTAAACTCGTATCACCAAAGGAATTATTGTGCAATCATCTTCAACATGGTGGATGGCTGGTGGAAACTAAACTGAAATAAAAATAATAGTAGTGCAGAGGCAGAAACTAAATAAAAGGACTTTTTTTTTTTAAATAAAAGGACTTTTTAATTCTCTCTTGTCTCTCAAGCAAAAGTCAATTTACAAAAGAAGTCTCCATCTCTCCTCAACAAGTTGTGTCTCTTCTATGTTCGGTAGAGGGGAAAATCATACTGATCTGGTAAAAAAAAAAAAAAAAAAAAAAGAGGATTCTTAATAAATTCCTAGGCAAACAGTATTAACTGATGAAAATTTATATAGGAGGGCGAGGTGTGAAGGAAGGAAAGTCACGTAGGTCTTTTAAATGCAAAGTTATTTCACAGTTTACTTTCAAGATGATTCAGATCATTAGTACTTTTAGTCATGTCAAGTTTTGCTGCTTCTGAGCTTACTAGTGATGGAGGGGGAGAAATAGCACCTTTTTTCCCCTGCAATCATTAAACCAATAATAAAGCAGCTTACAGAAAACTGGCTTGTGCAATATTCGTATTACCAATATACACATATACATTTAAATGCAAATATGTTTATTTACACGCCTACACAAGTCTATACATATGTATGTATAAATGACATATAATATCTCTTCATACATACACAAAAGCAAATTGCTGGAGATGAAAACTGAAGATTTTAAGAAATGTCTCTACATAAATAACTAGAGTATGGGGGCAATGAAACAAAGAAAAATCCTTATTCATAGAGCTAGATACTTAAAGATATTAATAGTTTTCTAATACAGTCCTTAGTCAAAACCTTAGTTTACTCTCCTTTTCTCCCCTTTCGAGAATGGAAAAAGACCTCTCTTAAGGCTTTCAACAAAAGAACCGAACTAAGAAGAAATGAAAGCCTGGCAAACCTCATTCATCAGAAACCGTGGCGGCGCCTGAGAATGGTGTGTAGGCGCGACCCCTCCGCACTTCTCCCAGAGGTTCTCGTCACTCTTGTATCTCATCTACTATGGGAGCAAATGGAACCCAACTTTGGTGGCTTCCATGCCCCCATATAATAACAATCCAACACCCTGCGCAGCCACACACGCAAGCGCTCCTTCAACATCTAACTGAATCGCCATTGGAAGTTGACAGCAAAGACATTGCAAGCCCACAGAGGCCCCACAAAAGGTGCACTGATTTCAGGGAACGGGCCACTCTTGACAAGAGAAACCACAACCGCAGAGGGGGCGGCATGGCGTTGTGGTCGCGCAAGCTTTTCATCTTCTCCCAGGCTGCGCGAACTTCAAAGACAACGGCTTCGCGCCGCCTTCCAATGCTCCCCCGAGGGCCCCCTGCCTGCAGGAGCTTGGGCGAGAAGTGGGGCTTCGGCCCCGGCGCGGCGCGCGGTCTTCTCCGGTGCGGCCGAGCACCCGCACCCGGAGCCCCGGCATCCGCCTCGCCGCCGCCTCGACAAGCTGTCGGGAACCATCCGCGGCGCTCCAGGCGCGCCCGCCGCCTCTTCCACACCTTCCCCTCGGGGATGAAGACGCCGACGTCCGGGCAGCGGCCACTGGCCCACTGTCCCCCGACCCGGGGACCCCCAGGGCCTCCCCCACCGCGGGCGTCCGGCCCCCGGCCCTTACCCAGCAGTAGCAGCTTGACCTCGCGAGCCGCCTTCTCTCCATCCTCGCGCAGGTTCCGGTCGATCATCTTACTCCTCTCCACCGCCGCCTTGTCCTCGGCGCTCAGTGTACAGCCCATTGTGCCGGGTGCGAGAGGTCGCCGCGGCTCGTTTCACGTCCGATGTGCCTGCTGCTTCCAAACACAGGTAAACCGCTCCCTTCTGGATGCGGTCGGGGGACTGGCTCCCGACGGGGTGGGCCACACCACCCTGACCCACCTCGTCCACACACAAGTCGAGGGGAAAGGTGTCCGCGGACAAAACAGGCAGCCTAGCGCGCCTCTCCCCAAGGCCGGGCTCCGCTCCCGGCGCCCTTCAGCGCCCCGAAGCCCCGGGTCTGGAGCCTCCAGATACAGCAGCT